TCTGTCACCCTCCAATGCAGTGTCCTCTGCCCCCTTCACATCACCCCCCCCCACTGTAGTGTCCTCTGCCCCGCTCACATCACCCTGCCACTGTAGTGTCCTCCACCCCTCTCACATCACCCTGCCACTGTAGTGTCCTCTTCCCCCATAGCAGTATCCTCTGCCCTATTCTCCCCACAGTAGTGTTCTGTCACCCTCCAATGCAGTGTCCTCTGCCCCCTTCACACCACCCCCCCATCTCACTGTAGTGTCCTCTGCCCCCCCTCACATCACCCTGCCACTGTAGTTTCCTCTTCCCCCATAGCAGTGTCCTCTGCCCCACTCCCACAACAATAGTGTTCTGTACCCCTACCTCAATGCAATGTCCTCTGCCCCCTTCACATCATCCCCCCCCCCAACTATAGTATCCTCTGCCCCCTCCCTCCCACAGTAGTGTCCCCCCTCCAACAGTGCCTCCTATACATACCTGTGCTCAAATCCTAATAACTTGTACATGCATTTATCTATCAGGTGCTAAAGGGTTGTAAGCTCATATTAACACTAGAAATCCCAAAGGAACCCTCTGCACACTGCTATATACCCTTTCTAGCAAACTTTACAATACAAAATAGGGATATTTAGTTCACACATATTGCAATACATGTTTAGACTGGCCAACTGCGTCAAAGTAATCCCTCTATGGCCAGTCCTACTCTACTCTGCCAACGCAAATGCTACTGTGGACACAATATAGGGGAAAAGACAAAGTACGGGCTGTCCCCCAGTTGGCCAGCTTAAACATGTATTGCAATATGAGTGAATGAAGTATCCCTATTTTGTATTGTAAAGTTTGATTCTTTGAATACTATGCTGCCCCCCGCGCTCAGTTAACATAAGAGCGACAGAGGCTAGAGGGAGGCAAAGCCGCAGTCACGATTCACCTGTCAGCTTCTTGCAGTCGACCGATCAATTATGATCAACGGCTAGCTGAGTCCAATGGGATTTAAAAAATTGCTCACATGGCTGAAAACAAAGTTCCTTATCCATATGTTAAAACTTTGTGCAAAAGCTACTGGACAATGCCAAAAATGAAGGTCTGCTCCATTGCCAGCCTTCTGCCTCTCAGCACAAAAGCCATTCATAAACAAACCAGTCACCCTTCCCCACTAAAAAAATACTTACCCTTCTGGCTCAAGGCTATATGAGAATGCATTTCAGCCAATTGCAAGATGCATTCTCTTGGGATTTCGGGCTCCTAGCTCTGCTAAGAGGCATGATGATATCATGCTTGCCTTCCAGAAGGATTAAAGCGGTGGTAGAGTCCCATTAAGAGACTAAAAAAATTGTCCCCTGCAGGTTTAAGTCATAATGTACAAGTATACGTGCATACCAGTACATTATGAGAGACTTATAGACGGAGACAGCTCTGGTTCCATGTTAATCAAGTCTTCCTTCTGGGTTCCAAATCTTCAGCTGCTTGAATGACTGGGCTGCGAAAGCACATGCGCATGGAAGTGACTTGCCATGGCACGCAGAACAGGCCATAAATGATGTCTGAGCTGCACGTGAACAGCTCAGGTCGCATTACCCGCTAATAGGCAGGGCGGTCATTTATGACAGAAGAGACCTCTAGGGTCTCTTCTGTTATAAAAATTCTGCCTGTTAGTGTGTTTTTTTTAAAAAGACAGTTTACTACCACTTTAAATATTTTTTTGCAGGGACCAAAGTCATTTTTTTGGGGGGAGGTGTGAACAGTTTGTTTAAAAATTGACTTGTAAAGCAATTTGTGCTGAGGTGGCAGGGCGCTGGCAAAACCCATCCTTCTTTTTGCATTGGAAGGTTCAACTTTAACAGCATAAACACTTTTTTCTATCAGTTTGTCTAGGTCGGGTAGATTCATCCTGGTGACCATTGTTACTGAAAGAGAAAGTGGTGGAAAAATCCAAAATTTTACAGTTATCACCAGTAGAGGAAAAGTAAATCTTCCAGTGGGGACATGAGTTCCTGTAATAACTAAGGGAATTTGTCTCAGAAAGTGAAGGGAAATCTTCCCAATGGGACCCAGCCACAAATAAACTGACATGGGTATTAACCCTTCCCACTCTATCTAAATCCAAAAAATAAAGATTTGGCTATATACAGTACACCTTAATTTTTTTCAATAAGCTTTTTGTCATACAAATCAAAGTTCAAACGTCCCACAGTAAATTACCCACAATTCTTGGTCCATAGATTGTGTTAATTTTCAAATGGGGTTGTGTTTATTGACATGATTCATAAGACCAGACAGTATGGTCTGTCCAGACAGTATGGTCACCTGCTGACTTGTCACCATCCACAGACAACTTAACTCTTCCTAACTTTAAGACACAGAAGTTGAATCAATACACATTTACATCAGATAATAGCAGTGCAGAGGATGCTTTTCCAGGCTTTTGAAGTGTATGACTTGGCCGTCTCTGGAAATAACTAGGACTGAGGGAACATGGAAGAAATGAGGAGGGCCTAGCTAGATTTGTATAGACTTCCTGAAAAAAAAAATAAGGAAAGGAAAATATGTAGAACGCCCATAAAGCAGTGAGATTTCACCTTTTATCCTCCTAGTGCACATTTTAACCACTTTGAGAAACACTTGTTACAGGGCTGGGACTAAAACACACTGAAATCAGACACAGTCAGGCATTTAACATTTTCAGAGATACTTCTGGTACCCTTATATTCTTATGGGCAATTTTTCCATTTTTGGTTTGTTAATTCAGTGATAATTGTTTTGTTCCAGCCTAGTTCACACCTATGCAGTTTGCATTTGATCTGTTTCTGCAGTGCTTTTTGTGGCGCATTTTGTGTTTTTGCGCATGTGCTACTGACACGATTTTTCATGCTTTTTTTATGCGCTTTGTATTTTTTAACGCTTTTTTGGCCAGTTTGTTGTTAGGCAGATGAAAAAAATGCAAAACGAGTAAAAATAAAAATCAAAAACATGTAAAAAATACACTACATGATTTTTCCTTGCTGAGAGAAAAAAAAGCTGCATGAAAAAAAAAAGAATATTAAAAAATAAAATAAAATAAATATCTTGATGTGTTTGGGTTAAGTCTCACTTAGTGTCAGTGTGTTTTAGGTAGGAACAGGAGACTTTATTTTGAGTTGTTCTTTGGTGGAAGGTTATGGTAGTAGCCAGAAATTTACAGCTAAAGTTAAAAAATATATATTTTTTTTTTTTACTATTTTGAATTAGTTTTCCTTTGATAATAAAAAAAAATCAGGAGATACCCATTACAATTTACCACCAAATGAAAGTCCAATTTTTCCTGAAAAAAAACAAGGTATAATCCACCTGGATGCACAAAGTAGTTGTGATGATACGTACAGTTTTCCTAACATATTGCAAACTTGCAAAATTGTGCTTAGGCATTAACATTTGTTTTACCTTTAGGTGCGAAGGGGTTAAGGAATAAACAATCGACTTTCCACAATCTTCATTATTTGCTAGAACTCAGAAGAAAGGAATGGCACATATAGCGTAATTTTGTATAAAAATCAATTTATTTGAAAATTATTTAAAACCACTCACAAAACATTACTCTTTACATACCGCTCATCAAAGTTTAATTATTCATCTAATACGCTATAAACTGTCCAGCAAGCACAGAGACTTTTCCTCACCACATCCGCCCAGCAAACCACATGGCGTCTAGCGTCACTTCTGGTGTGGAGTTTGACGTAACTTCCATCCTCCATGCAGTCACGCTCTGATGCATTTCATCACTTACGACTTCCTATATCTTATATAATATATGGATAAATGAATAGAAATGTTAATAGGTGATACCCAATCTTATACATTAATAAACTTATTAAATATTATTAAAAAAAGAGGTTCCCGTCTTCAAGGGGTTCCAACATGGTCAGAGAACTATCTATGAGGGAAACCAAATGTATGTATATGCATAATACACTTGCTCCCGTGGGCTTGAATGTAGAATTAGATATAAACTGTTTTATCAATGATTACTGAAATATAATGAAGTATTTCTATGAATTGAGGGTCTTTGGTTGTTTAGTGGATGGAGATTTAGGTTTAGAATCCTAATTTTTTTTAGGAGTTTAATCATTTATAATAAGATTGGGCGCCACCTCTTATCATTTACAAATGTATCCATATTTTATATGAGATGTAGGTATGTGGTAATTTTACTAAGGAATAATGGATATTGTGGAAAATTGGATTGTTTATTCCTTAAAGGAGGTGAGCTTCTTGAGGGGAGATCTTTGCAATGCCTTGTTGCTAGGACATTGCTAAGACATGCCCAGCTGTTACTGTTCACATCCACCCAGGGGTGGACTGACCATTTGGAAACTCGGGCACTGCCCGAGGGCCTGGGGTCAGTAGGGGGCCCCATGAGATGCCCCTGGTACCTTTTTCATAGGCTTTTTTGAGTTTGGGCAAGGACACAGGGGCCCCATGATCTTCTATTGCCCAGGGGCCCCATGAGTTGTCAGTCTGCCCCTGCATCCACCATTACAAGAGTGAGCTCTTAAATGCTGAGCTCAGAACTACTGCATCAGGGGAGAGAAAGCGCTCGCTCCTGTGATGGTGAAGCAACAAGGCAGGAAGGGGAGATCCAATATCTGGGAGTTTTTCATTCAGATTTCATGAGGTACATAAAAGGCCTACACCTATAGCAGGGGCATTATCCAACTCTGTGCAAAGCTGCACAGTTTGTCTTTATCTACAGGTGCCTCTTACCTGCATCGGCAGTTTTTGGTAAAGGTGAACTATGCCCATCAAAATGTATGTACATAAGGTATGCATACAAAATGTTTTCAAAATAAAGAATGGAGGGGGTGTTTGAAGGAGGGCGGGGCTGCTCACTTTGTAGCTAGTCTTTAAAATTGAATGTCTACACAAAATAAAATTTATTCTGCATTATATACATTCAGAGCATTATCTCAATGACTTAGGATAAATACAAAAATTGTACTTTTATTTACAGTCAGATGTGGGCCATCTCTGTCCATCAGTAGATTAATGTCACAACGTAACTTGTATCTGTGGTGGTGATCACATTAGACAAAGGCAAGTTTGGGAAATGTTCCAAAACACTGGAGATGTTCTCCACGCTGTATGATTTTATCAGGGGAAGCCCATTAAAGACAGACGTGTCCAGATAGGAAATATGTAATTGTGACTGATTGTCTCTGGATGTGGGACAAGGTCCATCCTTGACCTTCTGATCACTGCTACTGTAAATGATTACACTTTGCTCTGCCATGGCTTCTGCTTGCACCCTTAGGTGCCGGAGTCCCAAAATGGCCAGGTAATCTGTGGGCAGGACTGTAGTGCCGCAAAGTGAAAGTTTTAGGTTTTGAACAAAAGTGAAGTTCACCAGCTTGCCTAGAGTGGACGTATCAGAGAACCAGATGGTTAGGTTGCCACTGTAGCTCAGCCTAGATCCGGTCTTGTTCTTCGGGAGGACAGTCTTACAGCTGCATTCCAGGTTGGCCAGGTTGTAATCGCAGTTATGGATGTTGGAGGAGCAGCTGCAATTCCGGATGTTGTTGTCTTTGGAAAATATCAGCGTGTGGTTCTGACTGAGCACAAGGCTTGAAATACTGCAAAGACCCAGAAAGCCTAGTAAAAGGAGGTGATGATTGTAGAAGGACATTGATATCCTAATACCAAATCTGCCCGACTTCAAAGAGCACAGCTTCATCCATCAGGGGCTGCACAGGACAAGATTTCTCTGGAAACAAGAATGTACATCAGTTAGTCCAATGTAAAATATTGGGACATAGTCATAAAAAGTCATAAATCCAGGCAGTTCTGTGCCTAAACTAAAGTAATAGAGTGAAAAAGATTTACAATTTATGCAGCTTAGTTTACACCCTTGTGTTAGAGCCATTTAAGGAGTAACTAAACTGAAAAATACACAAATAATGTATTGTAGCTTACCAATCATTGGATGTGATGGCTGAATTAGTTTTCTTTTATTCCTTTATTTTCATCTGATGATCAGTCATAACATACCTCCTGTCTTAGAGTGACTGTATTCACTCCTCCACTACATCTATGGAGGGGCAATGCACCCACTCCTGGACAGCAGTATTTTAAGGCCTAGTTCACACTGGCATTGAAAGCAGGTGTTTGAGGGGCGATTTTAACACTCCTCAAATGTCTATGAAAATTATACTATAGACAGCGCACAGTACTGTTCACATATTCAATACATAGAGCGGTAGCGTCAGCATCACATCACTTCAAAATTGAAGCCTCATATTGAGTCTGGAGGAGTTTGAATCCTTTCATTGCCACCCATTCAAGTCAAGGGTGACACTCTGCAAATGTGCTGGCAGGTGTTTGCAGGGCAATTGCAGTGCAGTTGTGGCACGTTAATAACTTGACAGTTTACTATATGCATTTGTGTTGAGGTTTTAATACTTGTATAAAACGCTTCAAAACTGGTGTTTGGGGAGCGTTTTTAATGCTTGGAAAACGCCAGTCTGACACTCATACTAAAGCTGACTATTGCCTGTCTAACATCTATACTAAAGTTCATTAATGTCTGTCTAACGCCTATAATAAAGTTCATTAATGTCTGTCTAACGCCTATACTAAAGCTATAGAAGCGTTTGTTAAGAGTTAGAAATTTAGTCACCCCCTTCCCTAAGCCCTAAGTCTAAATTTAAAATGACCTTGTCGGTTGCCCAAAAAATAACTAATGGAAGCTGCAATGATGAGGTATTGTATTTACGTCTACTAGGACCCTCTCTGCTACCTTCACTCTGTTACAGTGTTGCAGCCTACATCAGACTCTTCAGCTTTGGACCCTTCCAGGAGGGTCAAATTCTTGTGGTTTTATGAGTGTGGTTCTATTATCTGGTTCTTATGTCATTGCTCTGTCCTGTGGAGATGAAGAATACGTGGCGGGGGATACAGGAATCCGATACTCCTAAGGGTGTCAGATGCTAAATTCAGCACCATAGCAGAGTGACAGTCAGAGACACGGGCCACTGGAGAGGTGAGTATAATACCTCCTCTATTTTAAGGAGATTCTATCAGGATTTTTCCAGATGACTGAAAGAATGGCTTTAAGGTTTTTTTTTTAAGCATGATGTTGAGGTTGGAGGAGGTTAAGGGTTAATTGTTAGGAACGGGTTGTGTTCAAAGATGTTAGGGTCAGATTAAAAGTTGTTTTAAATTAGGGGTCAGGTTACCTTTTTGTGTATAGGTGAGAGCAAGGATGCATTTTCCATAATGGTACCAGTAGGCTAGTCAGCATTGCAAACATTTTTTTTTATAATTTTTTTTCCTTCCTCCCAACTCTCCTCTATTTTTCCTCAGACATACTGTATGTACAGAAATCCAGTGGTAGAATTGTGTGTGTGCAATTGCCTCACAGCATGCTACTGCCTTCCAAACTGCCCCACTGCCCGATGCTTATAGAGATGTTTCAGCATCTGGCAGCAGGACAGTTTGAAGGTCAGGGGCTGTGAGGTTCACTTTAATTTTAGGCTTGATTTCAATGCCAGAATCTTGTGCCAACAATTATCTGTCACCAGTTTAAGCAGCAGTCTACTGTAAGTCACACCCCTTTCAGAATCTGCAGAGTAAGGCCACTAGAAGTCTGATACCATGTTTGCTACTGTTCATCAGTCTTAGATTGGTCACAGCTGGCCATAGATAAGCAAGTGCCCAAATGAGAATGGTGGTTTCTCCTTCTCTTTAAAGCAATACCTTTACAGGAGTTGTGAAGATTAACTCAGAATTCTCAGTCCAGGAAGTGTCTTTTTAGGATGTTTTGCTCAAGAGATATAACAGAAGAGGGGAGTAGGGTCACGGGATACTCCAATCGATCGGCACCAATAACAAAAGAACTAACTTCTCCCATGTCCTTCAATCTTAGCTTCTCTGGAGGTAGCTGTGGATGTTGGAATATCTAAGACCCGATAGCTGTTGACCACAAGGTAGTCACTAGCAACTGGTTCTCTCTATCTCTTCGAAGCAATAGTCACTCCCCAAGAAAATCCTTACTCACGGTGTTCTATGAGCTGGCTGCTACCCAGCTTCCTCAGGTGGATCCTCAAAAATGAGATGACAAAGTTCTCCTCCAGACATAGACTCTGAAACATTGTCCTTCATTAGGTATCCCTTTTTAGCTGTCCTTTTTGGCCCCTTAGTGCAGCAAATGCTGAGGCCCAAATTATGGTTTTTGTCTTAGTGATACTTCTCCTAGGGGTAGAAGCCCCATGAGTCCTGGAACCCTCCCTGTTGAGGAAAGAACTCTTAACCCAGGGATCCTGCACATTTATCACCTCCCATGACATCCTTTGGATTCTCCATTCTAGGTATTGTCCAGGGCATGGTAAAAATTCAGCTGATCATTACAAATTCCCTGCCTATGCTCTGGAATCTTCTTCCAGAGGCATGGGGAAGCAATCAAACTCTCAGCCTAGAAATCCTGAGCAGACCAAGCAATGGACCATCACTCCACTCACTGGAGTGGAGTAAAAAATTAAATGTTCCTAACTGGGAACAACCACTCCACTTACCATAGTGGAGACAGTAACTAAATTTACCTAATAGCCTAACTGGGAGGGCACTACACTGAATATTTAAATAAAGAAAGAATAAGAATTTTCAATGTGCAGTATTTCTGCTGCTTGTTGTAGATGAGCTGAAACGGTTCTATAAATTGTGGTATTTCATCTAGAGTGGTATGTGGAAAGTTTAGCATTGATTGTTGCCTGAACTCTCAGAAAGTTGGAAACATTATTTGAATAAGGCAGAACTACAATTTTACTTTTAGAACTTTTCTATTTGACGTCACCTCCATGTTCCCACAGGGCATGAGTTCTATAAATAATTTGTGCTGACATCTAAATTTATAACTTTGGAATTACACAACACACATCTTCTGCAGATTACCAGGAAACATCATTGTTTCCCATTGTAAATGAAGGTAAATCTGTGGAGCCTTAGTAGATCACTTATGTAGCCCCCTTCCATACTGTCCAACATTATAAGACAAGAAAGAGGGAGAACTATAAGCACAAAGTATGTAGACAAAGGGCACCCCAATTATGTGGACTAAGAGAAATTCATAAGCAAAAAATGAACGGTTAAACCCACATGTCCTTTTTTGACACTACTTTTCCTTTATATTGGGTTTTCAACATGCAACAATTTAAAGCATAAATAAAACATTTTGTGTAGTATAACATTTTTGTATTCAAATAATACAATTTTAGAGTTCCACAAGAAAGAGAAGGGGATTAGGTTCATACATGGAGCCATGCCCGCTCCTAGGACCTCTGGTCAGCAATGAGCAGGAACCAAAAATGATCTTGGTTTTATCAACTGGCACTGCTGATCCTGACCCTTTCTTCTGAAAATACTAGCTGCCTGGCTATCATGCTGAATCAGTGGCTTCAGTGATTTCTGGTACATTGCCTTGAATTAGTCAATTGTTCGTACTTCTATTTAATCTGCATGCTGGATCAAGGTCAGAAAGCCCTGAAGCTGATATCAATAGGGCTGCCACCTAACTAGTGTTTTTTCCATGGCGGTGTAAACAATGGCAGCCTTCATACTCTCTCAGTTTGGGTTTTCTTTAACTGACAGAAGAGCACAGGGGATTATGGGAAAGGGTTCCAGGCCTACTGTGGGCTCCTTGTCCACATACCCACCTAGGGCCTACCCTTTCAAAGACATAGTATTTCATTAATATGCCAATGACATCACAAGGGGCTGGGGATCCCACCATATAATCCCCTGTGCTGCTTTACAGGAAAAAAAATGGATCCATTTTGCTAAAGGCAAGGAGGCAGTGAAAGATGTAGAGCCTACTCTCCAGGATAGAGCTAGGCCTTTCCATAACTTCCACAAGTGAACAGGCATGGGATCCTAAGACTTTGTCACCTGTCCACAAAAGAGTGGATTGGTTTGTCTGGGATAAGCAGTGATCCATGGTGACTATACCTCACTACTTTCTGAAATTAAAAAGAGGGACCAGGGGCGGACTGACAAGTCATGGGGCCCCCGGGCAATAGGGGATCATGGGGCCCCTGTTTCCTTGCCCAAACTCAAAAAAGCCTATGAAAAAGGTACCAGGGGCATCTCATTGGGCCCCCTACTGACCCCAGGCCCTCGGGCAGTGTCCGAGTTTCCAAATGGTCAGTCCGCCCCTGAGAGGGACACCTTTTAGTACACAGTATGCAGACAAAGGACATGGCCTTGTCATGGCCCTGGTTATGCAGACCACAAAGATCTAATATGCACAAAATGATTGGCCAAGACACACTTTTTTGGCCTTTATTTACCTTTATATTTGTTTTTCAAAATAAAAAATGCAGTAATATAGAGGTTGGATAAAAAGTTTAGCACAGCATAACACGTTTAGTAGTAAAATAGTGAATTTTGTATAGAGATGTACACAACAGACCAAACAAAGAGACAAATGGAGCTGCAAGAGGGAAAAATGAATTTGGTCTCAAAAGAGGGACAGTTCCTCCAAATGAGGGACATTTGAGAGCCTTCATGGTGACCACATATCAACCTATCCACTCATCCCTTTGCTTGGTGCCAGGAAAAGGTCCTTTCGTACCCACGTAAAAAAGGCCAAGATGTGCTTCCCCCGGAATTCCGAACCACTTCATTGAGACACGT